AAAACCTCGTTATAACAAAGTTGAAGGAGCGATCGTAATTATTTCGTTATAACCATTAGTTTGTTATAGCCAATGTCCATTTCTTCCCTATTAGCAAGCAAGGGGAATTATGATTGCTTTGTTATATCTATTAGCTTGTTATATCCCATTTTGTTATAACGAGGTTTTACTGTAGATTGGAAGTGGATCTGGCTATGTTCATCAGAACTGAAACTGATTCCAGTGTCATCTGCTAAATGTCGTCGTCAAACTCGAAAATCCCCAAGGACCTTCAAGGATCTAGATAAATTCCAGGACTTTCAAGGCCTTGAAAACACTACTTTTAAATTCAAGGGTTTTCAAGGATTTTAAGGACTCGCATGAGCCCTGAATACAGCTGCTCGTCGGTACTACGGCAAAAAAAAAAAGGCATTATTATTAGTATTAAATTTTCACTCATCTACATATCTGGTACACTTGTTACCGGTTATATGCAACATGTTGTCACCGACATGCTTTTGGTTATTTATAAGAACCAAGCTAATTATTAAGCTGAAAAATAAATGCGCGCATTTTGGACATCTCGAAACAGTGGAACACGAGGGCAGGCATTAGTGGTCCCAGGGTGGTTCAGATTGCTGGAGAAGGTTTAATAAATGCAGTGAGACAGCCAAATATCACTTACAACATTGGTGCCTGATCCCCTTGAGCACTATTTTGCGAGAAAACGCCTGCATTGTGCATTATACGAAGAGAAACTAAACTTGGCTAAACTTCAGTGTGTCGTGGCTAAGCGAACGCGTCTAACGTAATGTCTGCTTTCTTTCTCCATTTTTCTGTTGCTCTCTTCCTTATTCTCTCTCATGGAACCACCGATGTCGGCACTTACCATCTTCCGCGCTTCACTCCTACCTTTACCTCCTGCTCGAGGCCATGGCAAACCGGAGAGGATGGAATGCTTTGGTGCTTTGACCCAGCATCATTTCGGAGCCTGATATCGACCCTACAACTGCAGGACGTAAAGCTAAGTTTCCATATTTGGGTGAGTCTGCACGCCCAGCCAGTCATTCCAAATCGCCGAAGACTTGATCATCATGATTCACATGAAATCAGTCCCGTGTTACCCAGAAAATTGGTTACGGTGATTATTTACGCCTTGTGGAACAGTGTGCTGTATAAACAGCATAATTCATAAAACAGAAATTCGTTGCAGTGCTCATAAGAACACATTGAATAAGTGAGAACAAATTGAACACATAAGAAATAAGCCGAAACTTCATTCCCACTTCATCAAACAGGTTATTTCATACTAGATGCAGTAATTATGTGGGAGTTTGACAAGACTGCTATGCTGGCACCTGTTTTCAGTGAGCCTAACAGTCAAATATTTTTTCCAAGATTCAATATTTCTTCAATCCCCTTCCTAAAAATTAGCTGTTGAAATAAAAAGCTCTTTATTCCATTCACATGTTGTCAGACAATCCACATTTAAAAACTATCATAATATATTAATAATTTAGATATGAATACAGTTTGAGTAATATTCTACAGTAGAACCTCGTTGATACGTTTTTCAGGGGACCGCGGAAAAAAAGCGTATCAACCGGGAAAGCGCAGCAACCGATAACGCACTTAAAGGCACTCTATATAAGATAGAAAGCAGCTCTTATGCAATGGTTTACTTTATGCACTTACCGAACTCTTTTGGACTCAGACACGTTCACAAAAGCGCGTAATATCCACCTGCCGCTTCGAATTAATGGTATGCAGTAAAAGTCGTTTCTCCAGAAGCCGCAGTCCCCTCACTCTCCGCGCAGTCATGAACGTTCACGTAGCGGCGCAAGGTGTCCAACGCAGCGATCGCGTCCGCAAACGTGGGTGCAGCGTAATCGCTGGTTTTTTGTTTGTCTTCATCACTTTCTTCGTTGTCGGCAGTAGTGAGGTCGGCCACAATGTCCGCCATGCTCGATATCCGAACGATCAGCAATCTCTTGCGCCTTTTCTCGCAGAATGCCTCCGTCGATGTTGACACAAGATGCCCGGGCTTGTTTGAACCATACCAACAGGGCCTCCTCTAACTTTGCGTGTTTTGCCCCCCGAGCCTGTTTAAAGCCTGGTTGGTAGAAAGGAGCCTTCGCCTCGATCTCCTTTCGTCTCGCGACGATACTGTTTAAAGTTGACGGCGCGAGTCCCAGCTCTCTTGCGACCTCAGACCTCTTCCGGCTGGGATTTCGATCCACCGTGCGAAGTATGTCAAACTTCTCTTTAAAAGAGAGTGCTTTTCTCTTTCGGGATGTCATGGCCGTCGTCAACGCGCACGCACTCAGAAACGGCACTGTTCGCGCAGTCGAGCTGTCGAGCGGAACAGAAACTGGAAGTGCAGCGTCCCGGCGTGCGTGCGGCGCGTAAACAACTCGCGCCGGAGAGAGAGGACAGATGAAAAGAAAGAGCAAGAGAGAACGAGCGTTTTCGCAGAGCTCAGCAAAGCCCAGTCGGCCCAGTGAGGAGACCGGGAAAGAGGGGGAAAGGAGTAAAGGCAGTAAAGGGAAAAGGGGCGCCCGCGTGCCGCGCGGCCGCGCGATCCGCGCTGCGTGGTTCGGCCAGTGGGGTGAAGCTCTCGGCTACTTCCGTCCCGCCGCGTATACTTATGACGTTTATCCGGTCCGGCGAACTGCTTCTGATTGCCGCGCTCCCAGCGGCTGTTGGCACTTGTTATTTTATTTTAAATAAAATTGATTCATATATTTAATGATGCGAAATAAAAGTGAAGTTGTTTTGAAGGTGTGAATGGCTTTGAAGCTTGTTATCGTAACTTTCTCTTTCACTCTTTCAACGTGTCTGGGCGCGCTTTCTCTCTCTCCGAACCCGCGACTCGCGCCTCGAGATGCGCTGGCCGCTGGCGCCGGGAAGTCGGTGGACCGTTAGAACGCGCGAGGGACGCGAGCCGGCGAGTTGTTTCGCTTCTGGGAGTGCGTTGCGGCGCGAGATTCGTCCCGCGTTCGTGCGCGCGCGGCTATCTTTTCTTTTTCGTGGGAACTTGTTGGTGTAATGTGATCAAGCATGGATTTTCGTCATCAACACACCACCTGATGTGCCAAGTGGGGAAACAATGACTGCCGAAAGCCGGAATATCAATGGTTTCGAGTTCGAATGGACGTGCGGTACGCTCTTTTGGTCTTCTCTTGCTTAAGTTTCTGATTAGATGTTTGCAACAAAACCTAACTGTCGCAGTGGTAGTGAGTATTAATTGTTTGATTTTGGCAATAGCTACAATGGTTTCCAATCACAAAACCAAATCCCATCATTGTTCAGGATTGCTCTTCACTCGCCGCGAGAAATATGTCATTGTCAAATTACTGGAGACTTCTGTGTAGACTTTGTCATATCAAGATCGAGCACATATGCTCGCTTTAAAAGATGGGAAACTTTTTGCTGTGAGCTGTTTATTTGGCACTGTTGTCAGCGATTCACACGTCTGTTCGCGAGGAGTGAAAATATGAGCCTAAATATTTTTCGATTAACTGAGGATGAGCGATAGAGCGATCCGCTCTGGTTTCCCGTTTCGTTTAGCAGTGACTCACTCCTAAATTTAAGTGATAATATTAAAAAAGAATGGGCAGGTTCTCGATGAAGGCTCAATACCAAAGAGCTGAGCTGTTTTTCTTGGTACTCATTGCTTAGTTTCCTTTAGTTGCAATTCAGACACCGTCGTCGGTCTTTACTTATATGCTTACTTCTGTAATCAAATTTGCGAGGACGTATATCATCACCTTCGTCGCACGTAACCTTAACGTTTTATCCTGTTTTGTTGTTCATTTCTTTGTTTCTCGTGTGCAAAACAGTGAGAAATTTCGTCTGTATTTTCTACTGTCTGTTGAATAAAAATGAGCGCAAAAGGACAAGCATTGCATATTTTTTGTGTATATGTCACTTTCGTTGCTTTGCAAGGTTTCTGCTGCTTTGCTGCTGGTCTCGCTTTTCAGTGCTGGCTTGTGTGCGTTTCAACGCACATTAACCAGCATTGAAATGCGAAAACCAGCCGCACAGCAGCAGAAGCCTAGCAAAGCAACGCGAAAACCGGGCAAGCAAAAAAAAAAAAAAGCTACAATATATATATTTTTAACTCTAGGTGGCGCAAGCTACCACCCATCCATCCAAACACAATGGCGCTGCCGTGCAGTTTCGGTTTTGGTTTCGCTGTGCCGCCATGTTGATTTTAGTACAGCCACCAGATACCAGGGGATTCAAATGGCGCTGCGGCCTCCCAGGGTTTTCCAATTTGCGTTCCATGGGCGGTATAGGAAGTTGCACTCCTCTGGTTCGGCTGTTCGGCTACTCTGCTTCGCTTCGCTTCAAGCCGGCGTGGCACCTCGGCGCACGGCGCGCCGAGGCGCCGAGGCGCCGAGGCGCCGCGATTCCGGCACTTTTGGACGTAACAACCGGGAAAGCAAACGTAACAGGCAGGAAACTAATACATGTATCTCTATGGAAGTAAAACGGGACCGGCGTTTTTGAACGCAACGGACAGGAAAACGTATCAACCAAGAACGTATCAACGAGGTTCTACTGTATTAATATTAGATTTGTGGAAAACACAAGTTGGTATTTATATAGAACAACTAGTATATGTACTCTTGCAGGGGCGTAGCCAGAAATTTCTTTTTTTGGAGAGGGGGGGGGGGGGGGGGGGGAATCTGGGGTGGTTGGATTGCCTGACTTGGGGTGTCAAAATGCATGTGTATATTATAGGTTCAGCCGGATTCTGGAGAAGGGGGGGCCTGAAGCCCCATAAGCCTCCCCCATGGCTACGCCACTCTATTTTTGCCCTGCTCCCTCCTCCCGTTGTTGCCACGGTCATTAATAAGAATTTCGACATCCCTTCAAGTTGTCAGCTGTGTGGGTACTTAGTGCAAGAGGGCCGACGACAATTACGGGAAACTTGCGAGAACCTGGAAGGCCTTAATCCCGAGGTTTCGACCCCTAGGAACAGACGCAGAGCGGCGCAAAGTTTCAGCACTCACTGATGGCGGGAGCGATGCCTCCGACAGAGGCGGGCCCCGGGATGTGTCCGGCCACTGCCGCCGCCTGGGCCGCAGCAGCTGCCTGGGCCGTCTGCGCCTGCTGCTGCATCTGTCCGTGACACTGGCGGAGATCGAACACCTGTCCAACAAGAGACACACGCTCCGGTTCAGCGTCCCAGCCCCGTGGCACTCAGCCCGGCCAACCTTGCGGCCTCGTCTCGACCCACCTTGCTGTGGAGTGCCACCTTTGCATTCATTTTGCGAGATTTATTTTCAGTAATAACCTACAAATATAACCTCCGGGCTGGTCTTATGAAAAACACAGTGATGTGATTGGCCTAAGCCATTTTGGAGCACCTTTTGGAGCAGCCAAAACAGTGTTTTGGAGCAGCAAATGTGGCCTTTGGAGCAGCCAAGACAGAGTTCTGGAGCAGCAAAAGTGGTTTTTGGAGCAGCCAAAACAGTGTTTCAAAGCTAAAAAAGTGACTTTTGGAGAATATATTCTTAGAAAAATAAATATTTGTTTTAAGTGCTGGACAAACGAAGGGCACTACGTGTTGTGTTGTGATGTGACGTGTTGGGGCGGAACTCGCTGCCTGTGTGTTTGCTGCTGAGACATCCCACAAGCATACAATGCTGTAGGCGTTGCCGAGCAATTCCGAAAAAAAAACAAAAAAACACTTGCTATTGTTTTACTGTTTCCAGACGTGGCAGATTTTTATAAAAAGTAAGCAAATGTAAAACAATGGATTGCAAGCGTCCCGGCTGGTGCCTCTCGTGCAATCATGTTCACCTGCTCGTGAGGGCAACTTCGGCAGGCTTGCAGTTACACGTGCTTCGTCACGCGAGCGGAGACAACGAATGTTCGACCGAAACCGAAACCATGCCACTCCGCTCCGTCGCCAACTGGTTCCCAAAATAGTATGCAAAATGTAACTGTCCAGCATACGACAATAAACAGTCCAGCGGCGCGTGCTTGCCAGGCCGGCAGACGAGGTACAGGCTAAACACACAGAAAAAAAGAACCTGAGCGTATCGATGCAAGACATTGCGATATAATCAGGGTAAAAAAGTTTTTGGAGCGCTTAAATTTGTGCAACGACTGAACTCAAGACAAACAAGCGAGGTGTGCGGGTTCAGCGTGCAGACATTGCCTTCTTTGCTTCAGCCCACTTCTCGTCATCAACTTTCTTTCGCGGCAGATTTCTCACGTACTGGGGTCCCTCTCGAAAGAAAGCTTATCGAGAAAAACCTAGGTAATCAAAACTTCGCCAAGCAGTCATTGAGTTAAGGAGGGATTTTTTTAGCAGCGTATGATTTAAACAAGAGCAGGAATGTCGATGCGTTTCAGTTTAGAAAGCGCCATATCTGTAGCGACGTGGGGACGGACACATACGACGTCGCGCGACCACGGCGACTGTGGTCGCGCGAGCGCTTCAGCTCACGAAGTAACTCTCGCCGCGCAAGTAAAGGGCTGTTTATACTAGGACGTTAAGCGCAGTGAACGCAGCGTAGCGCAGAACGCGCGCCGTTCATTGGCCGGCAACCAGAAACTCGATATCTGCGAACAATCCGTATCTGTGCGGGCTGCGCTACGCCACGCCCGTCGACGTTACGTTTGAGTATAAACATACCTTAACTCTCGCCACGCGGCATGTTTGGCACTCGGCACACTAACATCGGAGGGTGTGCACACGCACGCGTCTATCGCGAATAAAATAAAAAAAAAAAAGAAAAGACGCGAGATGACGGGAAAAATCATGCAAGACCGAATAGCGATTGATGTAGGGTACTTTGTGTCCGGCGGCGTCTTTTGTGCCACCAAGCTCACGCATGCTCAATTACGGTTTTCAGTTTAGTTTTGTTTTTGAAAGGCGACCAAAATCGGTCCTTTGGCGCAGGCTTGGCGCAGATTAGCCATATTTTGGTGAAATGTAGCAAGATGTAGCAGGGTTAGCCCCTTGGCGCAGTTTGGCGCAATTGGCGCAGCAATCACATCACTGAAAACAGGGGAGAATGGGAAAAAAAAGCCCAGAATAGGAGCACCGAGCTTCGTTCGATCAAATCTTTTGTCTTCGGCAGCAATTCCCTGGCTTTCCAATCTCAAGAAATGCCTGTTTTTTTTGTTTTTTTTTTTTGCTTATACGATGCACATATTATGCGACATTTTCACGTGGTCCTGTGGAAGTCGTGCGTATAATTGGGGTTCCACTGCAATCTTATCATTGTCGTTTTTGTTTTTCACACTTTGTCTACTTCTTTTTTTATATTTACAAAAAAAATGCTGGTCTTTTCAATGAATATTTTTACATATTAAAAAAAAGTTTTTTTTCTTTTCTTCAGTGATATGTGCAGTATCACCTCCATTCAACCCAAAACAGTATATGGCCTTTCTTTTACGATGGAATCTCATTAATTCAAACTAATAATAATAATAATAATAAATGTCTTTATTTTGCCATCTCTTTACAAATAGAAGGTGAAAGGGGAAAAAGCTGTAACACAGCTTGACTCCCAAGCCACCTAAATAGCAGTTAAGATGCGGGCACCAAAATTATTTACATATGATTAGGAAATAAATGAAAACATGAAGAGATCCTTTACACGAGAGAAAAATTGATTAGTGTCGTTATATAATGCAAACTCAATTTTAACAGACTAGGGCATTAGTAGAGAAAACATGACAAACAAACTAACACGCAGGTCCCGTCCTATGCGTCTCTATGGGAGGCAACTCCCGGTAATTCAAACTCTGCTTCATTCCCACAAAGATTTGGTCCCCATCGAGCTCAAATCAACAAGGTTTCACTGTACTGGAACTTTCGTCAGCAGTGGGCGAACGTTTACAAACAGTTGTGTTTACCACGGTTCTGCCCTGGGGGGTCTGCAACCGCCACATAAACGGCAACAATCCGGAAGCACGTGATTAAGACTACAACCTAACGAGGCAAATCCATAAAATAGCATTTTCTTGACACATAGCATGGACAAACACCACAATAGTCTTGAACCATGTATGGACAAGTACATTCGGGGCAAATATCAACATGTGCTCTACCCAGAGTGAACAAGCAAGAAGCCTTGAATTTCACTGGTAACCTAGATAGAAATTAACTTATACAACTTTAATGAATCCCCGTGTTTAGTTTCTGAGGTCTTCAATGCAAATGTGTTTGAGTTATTTTCTGTCTATGAGTGTCAAGTTCAAGAACGGCTCGTCAACATTTACCACAGCTGCTAAATGCTCTTCTTCTGTACAGGTGGCTTAACTGCATCTACGCTCAAAACTGGCAAGCCACCAATGCAAAGTACAACAGTAACTAGAGATGATTAATCGGTAAAATGCAACTGCCAGAATCCAACCGGCACCATATTTAAGAGTACTGCATTCTTCCCATAATCATGAATTCCAATCTGTGAGCCCCGTCATTTATTCTGAAAGAAACTTTCAAGATCTCTTCATATGTTGAGAATTTATGGGAGGTTTCAAACAATGAAAACAATCCAAACCCAACATCCAACCAATGAAACCTTAAAAAAAAAAACAAAAAAAAACCACACACACAAAAAAAACTAATTTTAAAAAGCTTGTTTATTGTTGAAGCTTCCCCAGCATAAAGCAAGACAATTTCAAAGACAGCTGACAACTCCATTAAAAAGTGTCCCCCCCCCCTTCCCCCGCCCCCGCACACAAAAAAGAAAAAAAAAAAAAAAAAAGAGAAGAATGTCCATTAGTTATGTTACACTTTTATCACCCACTGACCTTTGAGGGTTGAAACCGAATTTTGAAATAGGAAAAAGGCATACACCTTTATTGCACCGAAAATGCAGAACCCTATCGGTAATCTCAATCCAGCTTTACTGCTATTGTACAGCATGTGGCGTTGAGAATACAAATGGCGGCGACTCGGCTTGTGGCGATGATCTGGCGAATGCAGGCTTTTCTCGGAAAAGTTTTAAGGACATTATTTTAGAACTAAATGAGTGTGTCAAACCGACTCAGAACTTTCAAGGACTCCTGCAAGGTTATGAAATTTAAGTCAACCATGTGTGTGGTAAGCACACCAGGGTCACGGGGCATTTACTTCACAAGGTTGGTTCCGTTGGGTGTAGCAACGAGGAAGACATGGAAACACCTGCCCGCCCAAGTGCACCGCAGGTTGGATGGATGGATGAATGGATGGATGGACGGATGGATGTATAGATGGATGGATGGCTATACCCTTTGTAACAAGCAATCGCTTCTGCCACCTAGCCCAAGTCTAAAGCCTAGGCTAGAAGAGGTTATAGAGGCACTCAATGTTGCACGTCCATTCTTCGGTTACGAAGAAAGTGAAAATGCATTCTGCCACATCAGCCAACTAGAACAAAGGCTGACGCAAGTTGCTTTCTAAAACAAAAAAACAAGTAATGATCAATTTCTTTTTTTTTTTTCATAAATGAAGGTATTAGTGTCTGGCATTTTCCGCTCCTTTAGGCGCAGTAACTCTATAATTTTTCTTCGACTTTCGTTAGTTTTATCTTTCTTCAATTCACACTATTTTAACATCCCCTTGAAATTCAAACTGTCAGGCTTTTACTGTTTGGACTAATTTGTAAGTAAGAAATTAGCATACAATCGCTCAAATACCATTGACTGTCTCAAGACAACCTCTCCTCATATGGATGTACGAACGGAAATTTCAGTAGTAAGTGAAGCAGAAGGTTCCCTTCCCATTAGCAGTGCTAACTTGTTTGCTGCAAAACTTGCAGAACAATAATGTTGTGACTGCTAATCACTTCAAAATCAAGATATTCATTCTTAATAGCCAGGGTGCTTGTGCCTTCTGCCCACTGTAAGCATACTGAAAAACCTTTCAGCCTTTCCATTCCAAAGAAGAAGGAAGACCAGCGAAGCTGTACTATGGTGGGAATGAAGTGATGGCCGGCCACAAGTTGGCAAGCCAGAGTGGAAAGACCTTTAAAGGTTGCTGCCATCTATGAGCGACGGTGGCAACCAGACAACTGGCCATTCGGTTGTCTGGTTGCCGCCGCCGTTCATAGAGGGCGGTAGCTGTCTGGAGTGTTGTGTTGATGTTTATCTGCTGGCAGACACGATCCTGGGGAAACTATCCCTTAACAGCTTCGCTGTAAAAAGTCTGACTGAATAGTTCTGAATTGTAAACGCGAATATCGAGTAAGTTCTATTTTAATCTAAAAGAGGTCAAAGAAAGGTGTATCAATGGCAAGAAGAGAGACGTGTCAACGAGGAATGCTCTAAGTGGAGCGGACGCCGGGGACGATAAGATATGTTCGACTAGGTATTGCTGTAGGAAAGCGACTTCCATCTTCCAATATGAGTTGCAAAGAAATTCATTATTTGCAACCCTAATAAACAAAGTGGAATGACAAAGAGACAAAACAACCCAAAAGTGTCACTTTTGATTGTACTTAATGTTCAGCTTCGCATTAAATAAATTTTTTTGCTCCACAATTCCTAGACCAGTCTCTCCTAGCACAGTCCAGTGTTCGCCTACCTCCAACAATGCGAGCCCGAAAAGACTCACAAGCCTGCACCATCTGCAAAAGTTTAAATGCATATCTGACGAATGCTGGATCAATTTTCTTAGAAAAGCCTACCCTTAAACCAAGGGTAAAGATGAGATCGGAGCTCAGCAAATTGTAAGCGCCAACATCGGTCGAGAAAAAACGCGAGAGGAATCGACAGAAGACCGGATATTGAAAGCACGTAAAAGATTAGGCACGTTCGTTTTACCGCGACACGTTCAAGCAGTTCAACCGCTTGTCAACTTTCGATTTTCTTTATTGCTCGTACAACACGGGTGTTTTCTCGCAACGTAAAACCAGGAAAGACTACGGTAGAATACCACGCATCCGCCTATCCCACACTAAGTGCCCATTTCCAAATTTGTAAGATCTGAGAAAATATGCATGGTACATTGATATGTAAAATTGATGACCAGACAAGCGACCACCCCCCTTTTTTAACGATTACCTCTTAATTTTGAGTGGGCACTTCCCCGGTATTTTACGGTAAATACCAACCTCGTTGGCGACATTGCCACGTGCGTGGTCGAGTTGGCTACGCACGCAGCTGCCACGCGCAACGCACGCGGCTGCCACGCGGAGGAACCAAATTCGAATTCCCTCGGCCCGGATCTTTTTTTCTCCAATCTTTTGTCTTCCGGAATGTTCCGGTCCGTTCCTGACCATCACAGCGAGTTCCCGCTCAGAATGTTCCCGAATGTACCGTGTGCACAAAAGCAACGATAACGCGCCGATTCGGGACGGTCGGCCTTCCGTCGCCGGCGCAGGACGTGCGGTACTTTTCTACTTTAGTTTGTGGGCACAAGTTGGCCTCAATAAACGTTAAGTAATTTTCCGTTTAACACTCTTCCGCTCGCTTTTATTCGTGTCAACATTTTGCCACTCCAAAGCAACCGTTAAAGGCTCGCCGGCCATCTGGGCCCACCGGGACCACAAATGTTTGCGAGAAACGGTCTCTCATAACGTCAGCAGAATCGTTTAGAACACACAATGAAAAGAAGATGCATAAAATACACGCAGAGTGGACGCATTTCCACGGCCACCCGACTGACGACCCTGGCGCATTTTCTCATCGTAAGTGGTCGCGAGCAGTCACGTTATAATTGATCACATTCGAACGCAAATGTGTGAAGCGGCCTTTAAGCCCAGACACTGAACGAGGCGCGCATCTTTAGACGCGTTCGAAGCACGCACATCTACAAAACACTCATGCTTTACACGTGCGCGAGGACGGGCCTCGCGTGAAAGGTGTGGAGGGGACGCACCTTGATGTAGGCACTTGGGTAGATCTTGTGCACAGCGTCTCCCGGAGCCCTCCCGGCCTCCCTGTCCAGGTAGTAGCTCTGCACGAAGACGCTGTGGTCGCTGAGGCAGCGCAGCCACACGTCCCCTTCCCCTCGCAGGTCCAGCTGCACCCCTTTGCCGATGTGCAGCCTGTGGGAAGGGGGACAGAGATGATGCGGAGTTTCCCGGCGTGTTGCTTTCAAGACTCGGCGAAAATTATCGCGAGAAACCGCACTCTGAACATTGGTGGAGCGTTATGCGGGTAGAAATTGAGAGAGAGGAGGAGACAACAGCGTGCGGAGACACCGGTGTGCCGACCTCTGACCAGAATGATCAGTGGGTAGATGAAAAGTTAGCTGCCTTTGTCTCTACTCAATGTTTAAACGCATTCGAATGCGAACGTCGAACACTGAAAGCCGGCATTCCGCGTTCTAACGGCGAGTAGAGACAACGGCGGGTAGAGACAGACATCTACCCACTATTAATCGTTCCAATTAGACCTCGGTGTTCCGATGTCCTCACATGCTCTCGTTAGACATGGGCAGATATTCGAAACTTCGAATATGAATAGAATATTTAATATATTCTATTCATAACTGCGCAGCACTACCTATAATGTTCCGAGGCACGATGCCTTCATGTGCCACTGCCTTATTTACTGCGCCGAATGCTCCGGACAAAACACTCGTAGCCCCCTCAATTTATTATAAGCGATCCTAGTGATGCTGACCGGAGTCGACCAAACATGGTTTGACAGACGGCGTGACACCTCGCCGTTCTTACATGCACAGTGTTCCGGCGACTTCCAGTAGCCACGACAAGGGCCGAAAATCGCTTCTGGTTGGGATATGGTTTTCTTGCTTTTAAAGGGTGCGTCCCGCATGTCCACTAGCTGTGAAGATGTTCCAGTGTCATGCAGTTCACCGTGTAAGTTAGTTTTTCGTAGATCCCCGCGAAAGGAGAGTTACCACCAAGTTTAGGCAGTTTCCGCCCCGTGCGTCGAGTTCGTACCCGTATTGTCACTTTGTTTTCGATACTGCACCCCCGTACACCACCCAAATCTAAACTATTGATGCCCGTCCCCCGGCACCTCTGGCTAAGGAAAAAAACCCCAACCGTCGTACGAACACACTCGAGTTTGCAGCCAAGTGAGATATTCACCCCACGCCCCTGTTTTGTCACTGCCTCCAGCTTGCCATGACCAGAATACGGACTGAAAAACTATGAAAATATCACTCCCGCATTGAAATCCAAAGCATCGCTCAGCAATCGCAGCAAGAATTTAGTTTTTGCGACTGATATCAACTCTAACCACATATGTTTTCAAAAATGCAACTGTTGCCGACCTACGTTTCGAACGTCGAAATATCAGATGTGCCAGCTTATTTGAAATATTTTACGGAACTGTCACTCACCCCATAGAGTTATTGTATAACGGCGACTGAATGTCCAGACAATGTATGCCTCCTTGCTTTAACTCTTCGGCCATTTTAGCGGCCACCATGCCGCCACCACGAACCACTGCAACTATTGTTTCGGTTTGGCCTGTAGCCTCGACACAGCATTCTACACACGTTTCATGACAGGAGGTGCTGTCCATGCAATACAGAAGCTGGGGCTATAATCGGAATTATCAACTCTTTTCGTGCAGTCAAGGTTGTTGTGATTGGCACTCTCGATTTGAGCTGTTCACGGAAGAATCGTGGTCATCTAAATGAACCGCTTCGGTGTTCACCACTGTTTTTTGTTCATTGTTTCGCTTATGGTAAACTTGACTGATGCTGTCATGACAATTCGAGAAGTTCACAAATGCAGACAGTGCACTCTGTGCAGGCCATTGTGCAGCCATACCACACAAACTAACGAAATGCAAAATGATTCGACTGCAAAGAGGCGAAACACCCTTCAGCAAGCTATCGACCTGTTTCTCCAGCCATTTAGTATTTATATAAAGTGCAAGGAAAGAGATTCCTCGGTCGAATTAACTTTTTCGGACTGCTCGTTTATTCGGACTTAAGCGCTATCCCGATCGGATCCGAATAATCGGTCAGCGACTGAATTTGCAAGTCAATTACACTTCGGCTCGAGTAGAAATTGTGACTCACTTACTTTTGAAAAGTACACAACTTTCAGAACTTTAAAGACGCCAGAGAATGGTGTTTCACCAGCAACCTATGAAGAGCGCAAGCTTGTCTGCTTCTTTCGCACGTGTTGTGGTGACGTCAGAATGCCGAGTTCTGATTGGCTCTGACTGAAGGATAGTGGGTAGCCCTCAAAGCAGCTTGCTTTGAGGTCTACCCACTATCCTTCAGTCAGAGCCAACCAGAGCTTGGCGTCTCTCTCACGTCACCGCAACTCCTGCAAAAGAAGCAGACGAACTTGCGCTCTGCATTGAGACACTGGCAAATGTCGACCTTTAGCTGGCATCCTTCAAATATGCCTGAACACAGCATCCTACAAAGATGCCGGGCATTTCGTCAGCATCCCATAAAGGCGTGGCACCGACCTGGCTTTCTCGCTCTTCTCTGTCCGGTGCACGTTGGAGAGGGCACCGAGACAGAAGCGGTTTCCTCCCGAGGGGTCCACGTAACCATCGATGATGACGCCCGAGTAGGTTGACGGCACCTTGAAGGTCTCACCCACTTGCTGGTCCAGCTCGAAGTACGCAATGGAGCACCAGTACTCGGGAGCTGCAACGACATGCACCCACGTGTAAGCGGCCTTTCCCACACTTCGAGAGAAGCCCACGCACACACTCTTAGGGCGAAGGAACGACCAACCGCCACAACTTACGAAGAAAGCCTACTTGTCGGCTTTCCTGTGGAACAAGCGGCAAGGCCGACATGGTCTGCCCGGTGGACCAAGAAAGAGCACCGCATCGGCGCGGCGCGGTCGACAGTCCTGTGCACAAAGCCCATGCTTCCGCCAGCCCATACAGCGCGAAGAAGTAGGTTGTTGCCATTTATCGAAGGACTTCGGGGAATGAAGAGGCACCGATAAAATCTACCCCTAGAAAAGCGATATGTATCACAAAGCTAGACGTGGCATTCGCACGCAAAGGCCCCAGGGCAGATTCCATTTTTGAGTCAGATGTTGGTGAAATCTTGTTGTCTGCTCCCCTCCTATATTAGATTACAACTACTCGCTTTCGGTGCGATCCACCAAGACAAGAGGTGGACGAACGGGCGAAAGTCGACCTACATTTCAGGTAAATGAAATGTATGAAATAAGTAAAAAGAATAACCAACCAAAAGTACAAACTTTTCAGTTGGTTTAGGCATGAGGAGGAAAGAGAATATGATCAGGGCTGCTCAATTGCAGAACACTGGTGTAGCGAAGCTGCACCAGTGTTTTACAAAGGTGTCATCATGAGTAAAATGAATCATGAAACCATGTAATCATCAGAATCTCCAAAGTGATTTGAACTGGCATACTCGTTGCGATGTTTCATGTCAGAGAGTTCAAAAGCAGGTAATGCTTCTGAGTCAAAGCATAACCCGTGCCCCATCACCTGCTAGGCTCGCTCTATACACGACAGTGGTTGCCTCTCCACATGCACCGCAAGCAAGCCCATGTTCGGGTCATTTTTACATTTGCGCATCTTCGCAACTCTTTAAAAAAATTAATATGGCCGACGTACCATACTAAATGCCGGGCAATTCCGATGCAAACAGGCAGATTGACCTCCTGAGAAACAATGTTTACCCTCAAAACTAAACGAATCACAGATGCATTTACAATATCTCCTGCAAAATGTGGGAGCACAAAATGAACTGCGCGACGAGGCCATAAAAATTGGGGGCTTGCGAATATTTGAATCTGTAACAGTCAATCAGATATTTTAAATGCAGCAATGTCTCGTTAATACAGACACCTTCATTCCGCCCAAAAAGGCGTCCATAATGCGAACTGCCCCTAATAAGGAGACAAAAATGCAAATACCGCATTTACCCAGTTCGATTCTGAAAATGCTGTCTTTATGGCGGCTATCCATATTTCACGGGATCCGTATTAATGAGACACGACTGTCCCCAATGGGTAATATCCAATTCGAAAATTTTCTATTGGGTTCCATCCAAACATTTGGTCAGGATTGAATCTTCTAAGCTACCACAAATAACTTGAAAGAAGTTTAAATTGTCACGCTCAGAAAAATTAGAGCCATTTCGGTCAAATTGTTTGTTCTTGCGGGTAATTGCATCCCAACTTACGACCCACAAAAGAGACGAGGAAAGCCCTTGTATACTATTATCAGCACGTCTAGCCACGCAACGTCATGTTCATATCTTGTTCGAAATGACGCCTTTATTTCCAATCCTCAGTCGTCGCACCAGCCACTGCCACATAGGTACTCGAGTGCAATCATTCTTGAATGGAACCATCTATAACCTAACCTTAAAGGGGCGGTGCAACAATTTTTTCACTTTCGGTCCCACAGCGGTGAGTACACAAACGCGTGCTCACCACTGCGAAAAAAAAAAGTGGTAACTGAATTTAAGATGCCTGAATTCTGCGGCACAAGCTTTAGCCCCACATGCTCAGAGATGCGATGCGCTAGCAAACTCGGCAACCGTGCCCCCCCCCCCCCCTTGATAAATCATCAACGTACAAAACCTTGTTTCCGGATGTCGCGCGGGAGCGGCAATGTGCAATACAGTCGAAGCTCATTATAACAGACCTGGTTACAACAGACATTTGGATATAACATACCAATTTGTGAAGCTCAGTTGGTTTTCCTCTATGCACCATTGACTCAACTTCGTATCTGCATACAACATACTCCTTTTACAACAGACCGAAATCTTGGTCAAAATCAAGGTCTGTTATAACGAGTTTAAACTGAAGCACAAATTTGATTTCGCGTGATAGATTTTTCGCGCTCAACTACTACAACGAAATTTACCTGCATTACAAAAAATTCTGCCGGTCCCGCAGACTTCGTTATAAAGGTTGTATGACTGCAGACAGACGTCCAACTGGTGCCTACCTGTTGGCAGACTGCCTGTGTCGTTTTTGTCCCAATAAAGTTTAAAAGACGAAAAAGTAAGGCACAGAAGTCGAATCTGAGTGCATGGCCACCTAGGCTAGAAAAATTATAATTAGCGTAACTGATATTCATAAGTTTAATTCTGCTGTCATGCCAATTAAAAGTTTCTCACGCGTATAGTTTTTCAGTCAGCAGCATACCCCACCAAATTTTGTTACGTATACATTGTATGCTTCAGCAACCAAACTTGAGAGTGAAAAGCGACAACATTTCAATTTCCGGTGATTTAATCGCACCTTCAAGTCGATTTCACACGCAACGCCTTAAATGCTGTTTAAAAATGCGATATAAAACCTCTATAAAGCACGGCAGTGCTCCAAAGTTCGATAAAGCGAAGTTTAATAAACCAAAGCTCAATTAAACAGCCCTAAGCGTTCCAATAAAATGGCGTTCGATGAAACCGTGTTCAATAAAATGTTACTCGATGAAATGTACAGTACCTCTCAAAATTATACCGCGACAAAAAGCTTGTTGGTCAGTGGCACTGCGTGCAAGTATGCTTGGACCACACTAGTGCCACTAAGCTTGTGTAAAATGATAAACATTGGGAATGTTGCATTGCCCCTTTCCAAGTATGTAATGTCCAGTGCTTGCTAGGATTAAAGCAACATAATATGGCAACCAGGAGAGCCTTGCACAATTACTCGAGCCTAAAGGTATGTTTATACTCCAACAAAACGTCGACGGGCGTGGCGTAGCGCAGCACGCAGATACTGATTAGTCGCAGACATCGAGTTCCTGGTTGCCGGCCAATAAAAGGTGCGCGTTCTGCGCTATGCTGCATTCACTGCGCACAACATCGGAGTATAAACAGCCCTTTAAACAGAAGCTGAAGAGGTTCTTGAAGAAAAAAAGAGTTAGAGGTGAATTCTAGAGTGTTTTTGTCCCGCGAATTCGAATATCACAAGCCTACGACTTTAATGTATCAATAAACAAAAAAAAAAAAAGATTGTTGGGTGCGACGTTGTGCCTAGAGGTTTCAGCCGCCTTGCACGTGTTGCTAGCAAGAAAACACCTGCAGCGCTTTCAACTGCTCGGGCAAGGCTTGCGGAAATGTTGAGATCTCTGTATAATGCGCCATGATTCGCTCCTCGTACCGAAAGCAACGGGAAGGAGGGACTTCGGCGCCATTGCGAAAGCGCTGTTGTAACGACTTGACCCATCGATCCGAGAAATAATTTTAAAATTCGTAACTTTGGAGGCCGAAAAAGGACAGTTAAAGTGTATTTTCTCAAATGTAGAACTGCTTCAGTTTCGCTCCAAGTTGTCAAGTTGGGTTCCTGAGGGTCCGAGAGTTCCCCACAGTGCCCTTCAGGAGTTCCTTGATAGTGCAAATTATTTAGATCTGCCCTAACCCTCGGTAATAGATTTCCTAGTTCAAGCAGTATTTGAAGACACTATCAAAGTCGCGCATTCATGAACAACCCTGAGCCAAACACCGACTACTGCAAGCCTTGTTGTTCGCAATGTCTAAAAAGCTTCTACACTGCCTTAATGATGCCAAGAGGGGAAGAGTATTTCAGCTGTCACTCAAAGCAGATACTCAGGAGTACCTCGAAATCAAAATGTTTAAAAGCCCCTGCTTCAAACCTTAAAAAGCAGCTTTCGATAAAAAGATACTGCGAATTCTTATGCAATGCCAAGGCAGTCAATAACGGCCATTCGAGCAAAAGGGGCACTGAAATTCTGATAGCAGACTTGCAACGAGTGAAAACAATCTGAAATGTGCGTAAATGTCTCCTCACCTGGCTGGCTCGAAAGTGTTCCCTGCAAAGGCATATCTTGCTGCAAAATATTGTGGTGTTGCCCTGCAAGAGAAAACAGCTGTCTCTCCAAGCCACACCGGAAGCACACAAGAAGAAGCACAAGCTTCCCAAAAGGCAAACCAACGTTAACATCACTGTAACCGTACCCAACTTGCGACCTATAAAAACAAACCCGTCAACAACTGGGAAGTAATTGTGCCATTAAGCGTGAGTGTCTGTTGCATCTTCATCTACGTAGCAAACCATTCAAAATGAAACATAGGAGATAGAAGACTGCCAAAGTACCCTCGACCTCCCAATCTGCCACAAAAAACTGCAATAACCGTGCAGAGCTTTGCATGTGCTTAACTTGCAACTTTCCTAACACATTTTCTAAACAGGCTACGGCACCAACCATCAGCTCCGCTTCCATTTCAACGGCTTTTCCTATTAAGCCGACATATAAAGACAAAGCAAAATTATTGGCACTGTCTCTCGTCCCCGACAAGAGTGCGAGGGTGCCGCTAGTTCAGATGATTGAAACATGAAGCTAAGAATGATGAAAATAATCCCTGGAGAAGGGGAACAAGGGGGACAGAGGACAAACACAAATCTCCAAACACAGCTAGGTGACTGGTGCGCGCCCGAAAAAATCCGCCTGGTCCGGGTATCGAACCCGGGACCTCTCCATTACAGGTGGAGCGCTCTACCAACTGAGCTAACCTTTGCAATTAATTGCATTATAATTATAATTCTAATAATAATGAAGCTAAGGCTGTGAATTTTGCACCAAAGTAATCCACAAAAGAGCTGCGGCACAAGGACAGTGCTAAAAGACCTTCGCTTCAATCCACAATAAACTACACGAGGCAACTCGCATCGAAGAGTAAGCACCGAGGCATATAGTGTTGCAGTGGCTAAAATCCCAACTGACTTAGTATGAAGAAACTATTCCGCGAACGACCCGAGCATACGTAATGCCACGAGTGTCGGCACATTGACAAATGATTTAGAAAGAAAAAGCTGCAAAACATTACTCCTCCAAGCAGCCTGCGCATAGATGGCTGACCTTTGAGAACTTAAGAAATGGGCTCAGTAGTATGCCTTTGAAGCAGAGACACTTCGGAACGGCCCGTCTAAGGCCACACAGAAAATAACCGGGTTTACGGGAAAAACAAACCTTGCCAAAGGCCGTGCACACCTTGGGGCGCCCCAAGACACGAGCGCTGAACGATACAAATCGCCCCCTATGCCTCACGGCAGCTACGTCACGCACACCGAAGAACGCGAGTTTCTCTCTACACTGCGCGTCCCAAGGTACGTCACAGAGCAGCGCCATTGAAATTAAACGCCGCGTTTCTGAACAAAAAAACAAAGTGCCACTGTCTCGCTCCGCCTCGACGCTCAAGCACGCCTCCACCCCGCCTCGAAAGCGGCGAGCAGACGCCGGCTGCCGACCTGCGTGGCGGTGCAAGCGCGCCCCACACCAAAAGGGAAACGGCAATGGTAATGACAACAACGTGTAGAAAGAGAGAAGACGTACAAAATCCAGGGTGCTGCTGCCTTAAAGAGTTATCTGTTCCGGTGGGAGGCACCATTGTCTGAGTGTACGAGAGCGTGCTATTCCCTGTCCACGTCCCTCCACCTGCAAGTGGATCATCGCGCTTTTAGCCACTGCCCGGACTTAAAGGTAGGCAAGAAACATTGGCACCATGCGCCCCCCTCCCCCCCACCCCCTCCCCCTTTCCCAAAAGGACATACACCACAACTCCCCCTCAATCCAGACCTGGGTCTCCCTCACCCGCCCCACAATCGCTTCACGGCCCTCACAATGTCACACTCTTCCGGCAACAACGGGCCGTGCAGCAGACGGCAAGGGGCCATTGTTGTCTGGGATGCCCAGACGCAATCCATCAGGCAGCAATGTTGCGGCCGCAGATGGCAGTTGTGGCTTTGCCTCGGGGGCCCCAGACAAACATAGCTTTACTTTCGCATCCTCAACTGCAAAATTGCGCTCGCCGTCGATACGCCACTTGCAGTAAATTAGACCGCGAGGAGTTAGATCGGCGGTTCTCAAATTGTAGATGGAGGACCTCCAGGGGGTCCTTGAAAGCCTTCATGTGGGTTCATACCAATTTGCGATGGCCAAAGTTTGAGAAGCACTGAGTTAGATGACAGTGTCAGTGGTTTTAAGCATTGAACCGATTGTGTGCGGTCCTCAGCATGGCTGAAGATGATGATAGGTACCCTTAAAGAACAAATCTTGAAAAGAGTATAAAGATGGTGCACATTTAGGAACACTTCGAGTTTTGAACTGTTTGTGTCTTCTTCAAGGTCGAGGCTCTGTGGATCTCGCCATGAGCGAGAAATTACAGCCGACGACGAAATTTAAAAGCCTGCTTTCTCATGCAGCAAACGAAGAGCCAACGTTGCAATTAAGAAAAAAGGAAATGATGAGGCACAAAATGCGTTTCAACCTGAGAATGCAACCTGAGGCGCGCAATTCTGAGGATGACATTGACATGCTCAGAATCCAGGTGCCAGTCACATCCTTGTAACCTGTGCCCCATCATTTGCTGATATCTGTTTGTAAATATTAAAGAATGGCTCGCCAGGGTTTCATGTGAAACAAAACGCTGCCCGTATTAATTAAGGAAACCATTAAACTTGAGCAAACAGGGTAATCTACTTGTGAACTTGTTTAACTAACAGATGATGGCAGAATTCAAAATATTCCCAAAAAGCTACACTTCAGCATTTGCCACACATTAGAGCTCCTGCAAAAAAAAAGTTAATACTATGCTAGAGGCAGTTCCTACCGATCACCAGTACCATTTGGTGATGCCAAGCACAGTCAAAGAAAGCCCACCCTCCAAGGTAGTGCTCAGCAGATGATCACTTTTCTTTGCATGCTGCAACTTGCAAGTTTCTTTCAATGTTTCTTCCAAACAAATATTTGTCCTTTTCCTTTATACAGGTTGTTTAATTTTAATTCGAGCAGACTTATTTTTAAAAAAGCTGCAAAAGGTAGAACAACGCAGTCCGTGCAGGCGAGTTGTAAGGCCAGGGGGACAGGATATAGGGCGATAATCTTCACGAAAAGTTTAATAATGAACAAAATTTGTTGACTTCTTACTACAGAAAATAGAGATATGGTTTCAATTAGAAACATGCTCCCAGTCACCTACAACCACTAAATCAGTCATTTCAGAAAAGTTTGAGGCACGTGGTACGTCTGCTAAAGTTTCCGCTCGTGCGGAAGCAGCAACGCTGGCATACCGAAAAAACAGCGACGATTTCGACGTCCTCCGTCAAAATATTTCAAAAATTATTTTGACGTCCACGACGTCACTTTCGTAAACTGTCAGAATAGTGGCTTTATTATTTTGACGTCCCCCGTCAATGCAGTCATCACGGTGGAAACCGTTTCGTTCTGTATAGTTTCCGACAACGTGTAGTCAGTGTCCTGTTGACGGAGTCACGCGTCGCTGTGTCACGTGCCTACGAGGTTTCGGAACTACTTACCACTGGAAATGTCTTCCTCCGGATGCGATACGCCCGGCAGCTATGTTCGCCATCTTGGCGTGCGTGTCCCTTAGAATTCTGAATCCACAACAAAGGCGAGCTGGATATCCCTTTATCTTTCCTGCACGTAACAAATGTAAGTGCGTACACTATGTACTAACACAGAGTTCGGAACGATGTTTGTACCTCCCAGCCTCCACTACCGAGCGCGCACGTCTTCGAATGGTTGCAAAGTCTCGCTTTGCTTCTGGCTCCCGCCTTTTTGCTAACCAGGTTTCGTTGTTTAGTTTTGGTTTCCTTTTCTGGGTCGTGTATAACGAGTCTGGGTTGCCTATGAAACAATTAGGATGTTAAGTTGTTGTGAATGCAAACACTGCCTCCTTGATGATTCTTGGCCGGTGCAAACAAAAAAAAAGGTTTTGACGCACCAAGCAAACAATATGGTATACGTGTGTTTTACGACAGTAAATGTCGCGCAATAAACTGCAATTTTTATGACACAAGATTCAGCTCCTTTGTTTATATAAATAATGTGAAATACATTATGAAAAGCAACGGTGCCGCATTCTGCGACGTTTAGCATAACCAAGGAAACGTTACCTGCGGCCCGATAGCAGGTTTGTACTTCAGAAGTTTTCTTGCGTTCTCCATCCCTTAAAAGGTCATAAATACTGCAGCAGACTGCATGGAATTTGTCATCGAAAAATGTGTGTTGAACCACGACACCGACTGCAAGCAAGGTTATATTTTAATTACGTCACTTTCAATCATCTTCTAGTCCACAGTTTCGAAGCCCCAAGTTTAAGACGTTAAAATAATGAAAAAAACATTTTGACGGGTGACAACGAAATGATTTTTAATATATATCTTCACGTAATCAGGTAGTGGCATCACAAACACCAAAATAATACTGAAAATTATTTTTAAAATGGATGTCAAAACAGTCACTGCCTTCCGAAATCCGCACCTGCTACATTAGCAAAAACTTTAGCCACCGCCGTGCTTACCCCAGGCTTCAAATTTTTCTAAAATTGACTGATTTGGTGATGTTGAGCAAGCTACTAATTGAAACAATGTTTATTTTCAGTAATTAACAAGGTTAATTAACCTGTAGCAGTGATGGAAGTGCCATTTGACCTTTTGGAGCAGGCCTTGTAGCAGGCAAAATGTTGTTTTGGAGCAGGTAGTGGCCCTTTTGGAGCAGAGTACGTACGGCATATGTTGGCATACTACTTGAAAATGAAATAATGCTGCATTGCTGTATAAAACTTATCTCTATTATTGGAACACAGCGCCTGTCGCCTTTTTATGACAGGATATATAAAATTCAACAAAGTAAACACAAAAAAAAAAATTTTTTAAAATAAAGTTTATCTGCTCGGTCAGATAAAAAAGTACAATTAAGTATGTCACACTGAGTTCTGATGGTACAGGATATTTAGTTTTATCAGCCTGCACTTCTTTTTAGGAACCTGCAGCAGCATCTAACGACCCTCACTGTTGTGGAATGTTTTAGTTCAAATTAGAGTTGTCTTTCGGGCAGCAGCTTCAAATATTGCGGTATCTGATATTCGCTTAAAAATTCCGATTCATTTTCGATGTGCTGGCGAAGTCACGATTGGATCACAGCGAGTTAACCCGTTGAGTGCGTTCCTTGGCATGCACCGACGCGCTGCAGAGAAGTGACACCCGCGGAGCAGACACCGCAGTCGCGCAGTGCTTTGTGCTCCGAAAAGTATGGTGAGGCTTTACCAGTACTACATCCAGAGTTTGGTGCAACTCAACTATACTTCGTTTCAGCTTCGGTGCAAGCGCAGCCGAAGCTACAAGCACGCGCATGAAGCCTTAACGGTGCCCACACCGCACGAGCCCACGCGTGAGTCAAGAATGCACAGAGCATTGGGTTCGCTCTAGCTTTGACTTCGCACACGGGAACAGGGCGGGCCAACATTAAAAACATCCACAAGCTCGGCCTTTTTTTCTTTTTTTAATACACTGCTCAGTGGGATGGTTCTTCGCTTAGCCTCTGCGGCTTTGGTCTCAGATGTTGCTAACGTTGTTCCTTTCAATGATCATGATGATAATGCGCCCTCGCAGTTTCGGTTTGCGTCACAGTTGTGGCGCGGAAAATACTGCGGTACCGCAACGCGCTCTGATAAGACTTCAATTTTTATTTTTTATTGCTACATCTCATCTCGGAGCAGGCCTGGCACAATTTGGCGCAATTGGTGCAGCACTTCCATCACTGCTGTAGCGAATTATTTGACTTATGTTATGTTCTGTTCACTTGGCTGTATAGTTCACCTGCATAGGGTGGCTTTTATTAATATTGACCCATTCAAATTAAAACCAAACACCCTGCATATGATGTGCGTTATGATAGGCCCCGTCCTAAATTCAGACGCTGAAATAGCCGAGCTACAAAACAGCACAAGAATCACTCGACGTTGTGCGCTTATCAAGAAAATGATTAAAGCCCAGAAAAAACAAAACCCGAGCCAATTTCTACTTCTTACAGACTTAATCTCATATTCCTCCTTACTAGAGGACAAAGATTGAACTCGGAACATCAATGAAACAGAAGGATGAGAGGAAACTTCACTGGTCTTGGGCATCATATCCACATAGTACTATCAAGATGTATCTAAGTATAGCTAAGAATGAGAGGAAGACTCTAGTGTGCTTACAGAATGCAGGTTTATTTTAGGGGCAAAGGAGAAGTTGGGGGGTCGGTGGGACAGGTGAGGGAAGTATCAAAGGTTAAATGCCAATGGTTAATGCAAGTCCTCCCAGATGGCAGCAACAACAGGAGAGGAGAGGGTAAGAAGCATTATAAGCAGCTTAGCATTCACCTCTACTTTTGTGACCTAACGAAATTTCACACTATACATGGCCATATTTACCATAGTATAATCGAATGAAACACATCAGCACAGTTTGGTAAAAAGCAAAAGGCAGTAGAGAACTGGAGCATTGCAGCTTGATTGCCTGGCTTCGTATCAGGGCGGCATTTGAAGCATTGGCAACACCGTTTCCGCAATAAAGCAATTGTGTTTGGAGCCTGATCTCAAGTTGCCACGAGCTCTTGGTTGCTGCTAAAATGCAGAAATGTGCACAATT